CACTTTTAGGAAAAGTAAGAAACAGAAAGGAATCAGGGAAGAAGGGAAACAGAGCAAACAGYAGAGCATGGGAGAAGGGAGAAGGGGAACATATCTGTACTGTCTAAATTAAACTCCTTGAGGAGAGGATCTGAGGTATATTTGTGTTCAGGACACAAGAACAGCAAAATGGAAAAGGGAAATAACTCATTCTTATGATCAAAGTGGGAGCAAAGGAAAAAGAGGAGGTGGAAGAGATGATTCATTTTCAAATGCTTTTTTTCTATGGTCACTGATGTCTAGTTATCTCAGGAGAAGGTACTCTTATCATAAATATTCCTATCACCTGAAGCACAGAACGTTTTAAGTTTGATGACCATACAAAGAGATTTTAATCATCCTTAAAATTGGCCTCATTCTTTCTTATTTCACTTTCTTTTCTTGTATGTGGTTATAGCTTCATTTTTACCAGTGTGACTAATGAAACCTAAACTGTGGCAAACCAAACGTGTCATATTTAAAGTAACTGTTGACATTTAGTGGTGTCTTGTGTACCTCAGACTATTTTCATGAGCGTTTACAGGATGTGCTGAACAGAGCTAATCATGTCCTTTCTCAAGCTCCTTAAATGCAGGTTGGAATGCGTATCTACAAGTTTAAGACTTCCATTTTCCACAGTTGCTCATGAGCATAACTGCATATAAAGGCCGGATATATTCTGACAGAAAAAAAAAAAACCTTTTTATTTTCAAGCTGAGTAGAAGTTATGATACTCAAGCAAATGCATTAAAAAAAAAAATTATTGAATCCTGTTATTTAAAGGAATAAAAATGTTTCTTYATGTGGCCAGAATGTTTGGCTTACATAATATTTTGCATTTGCCCATTCTGAAGGGCCAAACAGATTTCAGTGTTTTGTTTGATTGAATTATGTAGGTAAGCCTTTGTGCTTTATATACTCCACATAATTACAAGAAAGCTTGAAAGTGTGCAGCAGCTCCTTTTGGTAGGTGCTGCATGTGAAGAGTCTAGGGTACAGCTTGTTTTACTGGAAGAACCAAAGACAACGCTGGAAATTGTGTTGCATTAAAAGGATTGCCGCAGTGGGTGGAGTTGAGGACACCCATCTCCCAAAGTCTGTGGGTGCRGTTTACTTTTACTTGTTTTTACTGCAGTTTTATTGTGTACCACAGCAGGGACTGCAGTATACTTCCCTAGGTGAAGGGGAGCACAGTGGCAGATATTACCTAAGGGATTCAAAGCTTGGGGTAACTAAGCAGTCCCAGCAGCTTCAGTCTTTTTGAAGGATAGGTAACTTCCAGAAAGCTTCAATGTAAAGATGATGGATCTCCAKATGGATTTCAGCAACAAGAAAGCTGTAGCAGCATCTGCCTTGGGATTGGAAGAATGGAGAGCTGGATTGGAGGCTGTGGAGTCTCCTYCTCTGGAGGTCTTCAAAACCCRCCTGGATGCCGCCCTGTGCCACATGCTCTGGGTGTCCCCGCTTGAGCGGGAAGGTTGGACTAGGTGATCTCTAGAGGTCCCTTCCAACCCTTCTGTGATTCTGTGATTCTGTGAATTGAAATGTCATTGTATCTTACCTCATCTTTTGTGAGACTAATGTCTCCTGTATGTGTTTGGAGAGAGTGGATAGCAGGATAAAGAAGTGGATAGCATGGTGCTGGAATCATCTTCCATCTGGAATAATTGCTGTGAATAAATCTCAGCGTTACTTTTGTCTGTCTTTCTGCACTAGACTGTGGGTCCAGCAAGCACATYCAGTGATGCTTCTGCATCCAATGGACCGTACCTGTCTTATTTTGAGTATTGCTGTGGAAAAGTATGTGTTCTAGCTGTCTCTTCTGCTTCCCTAGCAAACCCTCATCACCTTGTCTCTCACTTCTCTCTAGCATATCTCAATGTGTGAAACTGAAGTTGTAAAACATGCCAGTTTCAGCCTTCAGAAGGCTGTCATGTGTTTTTGTGACTAGATTACTTAGCTAATGTAGACCAAGCAACAAATATTTGTTGCTTGAAAGAACAAATTCTCATGTTTAGTTCTGATGTTAGCAATAGGGGAAATAATTAGATATCACACCATATCATTAGTCATGTCGCTAAATCTTCCTCCTTATTCAAAAACCTCTTTCCTTCAGAAAGGGCTTTTTCTCTCCTTTTGCAGATGGAAAAAAAAAATCTTCCTTTGTACCTGGCAGCTCTGCAGACCTGGAGATTTGACTGTGGACGTGTTATGGGAAGAGCTGCTTTGAATGTATGTTTCTTTGTGGAAAGCTAAGTCCTCCATAGCTTTTACTGCCATTCTCTTAGATTAAATTAAAGTTTGGCATAATTATTAATCATTTCAGTTATTTTCATAATTCCAACTCCAAGACAGCTTTGTATTTTTAGCTGGCTTAGTCATATCACACGGCTGTGACTTTCAAATCATTGCCCAAGTGAGAGACACAACTTGGAAAGATCTTATTATCTTGGAAGTCAGAAGTCTTCTCAGTGACACTTCTCCCTGGTCATTTTGCAGCTTCTGCTTGACTGCTCTGAAGAAGCATTTCATGAACTCAAGTGTTTAGAAAAGAACAGGACTTCTTTGGTGTATGAAAATCTGATGAAAGACGGTAGTAGATGTGTAAAAGGGCCAGCGAACCATGGCTTTGCTCATTCTTGCCTATCCCCCAAATGCCTGATCTTGAAAACACGGAAAACATCTCATTGAAACCTGCATCTTAAATCCTTCTCAGGCTTGGGCATCCAGCCGAGCTTCCTCCATCCTAAAATCTCTTGCAAAAGGCGATGAATCCAGAGGGGGTTGGGAGATTATCTCTCTTGTAGACACTTCTATTCTCCACCTGATGCAAAGCCAGCRATCATTTAACCCTGCGTACTAGTGCAGAGACTTGAGGAAAACCCCAACGCTGCTCTGCTGTATCCTCCTAAGGAAGTGCCAGAAGAGCATGGAAAGCAACCCAAAGGATGGCACAAGAAAGCGTAAGATTAAGCTTGTGTTAATGACAGCCTTAACGTGATTCATTTGTCAGTCCCACTGTGTATACAATAAGTCCTAATGATGCTTTGCATCATTAAGAGGACTCTAACTTGTATGTTTTTTTCCTTTCATTTGTATATCTGTCCTAATTCCCTTGCTTCTCAGTCTAAGTGTAAGACTTACTAAATGTTCGCAGAAATACTCAGATATTTAGGACAGGGAGAAAAGACAATCCAACAGAATTGTTCTTTTTTTCTGTACTCCTTAAAACYAGAATTTCACAGACATCATTATTAATATTTTACAGACCAGTTATATTTTGATAAATCAGTGCAGCACTGCAAAGGTTTTCTAGAAACGTATTGTTAAGGCTGACAGGCCGAGTTCAGCTTCCTGGAAATGATGTAGTTCTCTAAAACTGGGGAAAGTTACACTGAAGCTAACACATTCAGTGTAAGTCTATTACAAATCTGTGACAAGACTAKATGTATGTTAACTGGGCTGATAAAATTTCTGGAATATGAGCTTATTTCTCCTAACATTCACCTTAGGCCTTCTGATGGCAAATTCAGCAATGCATAAGATTATTTCCAGCTCGATGTTTTGATCAGAGGCCTGACTGTATGGGAGGTACATGTGCAAAATGCACAGGGGTCAGGCTGCCTGCCTTGGAATGTTCTGCAAAATGGTGGGATAACTGAGCCCAAGCTGGATTTAATCATCCCAGGGAAATGCAGGGGCTGGCTGTTTTATGTGCAGATGGAAAAAAACACAATTGCGAATTAAATGTGAAAGTGAGTGCTGGCTCTCACTATAAATGCTTTCTGCTTCTAACTGGGGGTAAGTAAGGAGCAATGGAATAAGAAAAATATATATTTCAAAGCAGATACAGATTATAGGCTACAGATCATGTAGACGTTTTAACAGAATTAGTCTTGTGATACCAAGTAAGCATCTATTTGTTGCAACGTGCTTGGTTAGATTACAACACATCTTTTCTGTTAATCTCCCCACTCCACCCAGGCTGAAGGCTATTTTTTTTTAAGATTGCATTTAAAATATTTTTGAAATAATTTGCTCTTACATAACTCTTTTGAGAGTAGCAGAGCATTTTACAAGCAGCGAAAGAGATAATGAACATAGTGTCTTAAAGGCCAGAGTTTTAAAGGTATTTAAGTGCTTATAGAAATAGAAATTGCAAATCTAGATGCTTTCGAAAATCCCTCGAGATGCTTTGCTGTGTCTGTAGATGCTTTAATAAATTTGTTCCAAGTGGTTTGCCTCAGGTGCAGTTAGTTACTGCTAGAAAGCTGAAAAAAGAAACTGTTTCACTTACTACTGCAGCCATTCATCATTTTTACCTTCATTATGACAAAGTGATAAAAAAAATAATTGTCTGTACAGTCAAATGGAATAGGGAAGAAATAACAATGAATTATAAAACAAAACAGAAGTTCAGCTTTTTTGGAGTAGCAGAGTTCTCCTATAAGCTCATGCTTAGAACTGTAATGGATGAAGGTAGACTCCTGTCTGTAAAGGCCTTATTAACAGTACATGGCTAATCAAAATGGTTTGCTAAATCCTTTCTGCAAGGTGATTGGGGGTCTGTGAAGTAATAGATTGCAGTTCTTTGAGGTAGTCTCATCTGCTCAGTCTACATCTGTAATAAAAAGTCACATGCTGCTGTTTCTCTGTTCCAGAGATCRTAATTCTTTAAGTGACCATAATATCTTGTTCAAATATATACTATTTGCAAGCTTGCCTTCATTTTCAATGATATCATCTCACTTGCACTAGCAGTCCAAGAGTGAGCTGGTTCACTAGTATGTTTCTGTCAAGCAAACACAGAGTGAAGATGACCATCAAATAAAATCAATTTATATGTATTTGCAAATGCAATAATGATAMAGTTTCTATAACTTGCTTTTGTCAGTGTAATCTTTTATAGCCTGTTTTTCATCATTACATATACACCTGGTTTATTGGTTTTCTCATCAAATGCTTTTGTTTTCATTAACCAGGATGCTGAGAAACTGGCAGGTGAAGAACATGTCTGGAAAAAAGTCAAAGATGCTGTGAATGGGGTGAAACATCCCAAATCAGAAGAAGGTATCCTTTTAGTAACAGGCTTCCATCTGTCATTTAGGCGTGGAAATAATCCAGAAAAACATTTTTTTTTTTTTTTTTTAGAGTTTATTAAGGATAAAACCCRTAGTAAAGCTAAACAATGTAGAAATGCACACATTTTTTATAATCATTAGGGTAAGTTATAATAATGATCATTAGGATAAGTAACAATAGTAATTTATAAGAATTAGTGAAATTAGGTGAAATGAACTTGTGGTAGATATTCYATCATGTAGATATTCTATCAAAAAATGGTGAATAACAACAACGACGAAGGAAAGATGAGCAGAAGAAAGSTGGAGACTTTTAACTAGAAGAGCATCGATGTACTGATCCATTCTCAGCTCTCACCTTAATCTATTCAGTGGAATTTAACCGACCATGAATTTGGCCATATGGTAGCAGGGTGCCTTACTGCTTTCTGACACTTGGGCTGTATCTGGAGCTAGAGAAAATAAAATTTTCTGGCACTCCTTTTCAGCAGCAGGGAGAGCAAGTTATGCTTAGTGGTTTCCCAGGCTGGGAAGATTACTAACTACTGGTTAGTAATCACCATCTTTTATGTAGTAAAAAAAACTGATTTTGTTTCAGTTTGTTAACAAAAGGGCTGTCATTAAAGAAAATTTTAGTCTCATAGAACAATTTTCTTATCATTTGTAGTCCTGTTAAAATTTCTCTATAGTGAGTGGATTGAGCTAGGCAATACTGTACCCRGTCTTTAGGCATTCAGTTACAGTTCTGGGACTCTATTTTAATATGAATATTAAATTATAGATATGCAACATGTAATTGCATTCATTTTGACACCTGACATATGGAGCCAGAATGGCGCAATGTAATGTCCCTGTATTTAATTTCAGGTGAAATTGCACATACTGAATTTTTCTTCAGGTCTTTAATTAAATTTCTCTTTTAACTGATATTTTTAAAAGCAATTGAACACTAGGGAGTACAAGATATCAGTCCTTGTTTATTTGAGTTTTGTCCATAGATGTGGTCTATTTGATATATGGCATCTCTCCTTCCACTGCTGCACAGTGCCACAATAGGCAATATCCTATACATGTCCGTGTATAATGGGCATGCACTGCCTAGTGCAGTGCCTGAGATGGGGCTTGACATTTGTAGACTCACCAAGAATGAACAAAAAATATTCCTTGTTGACTGAGGCACTTAGTCATTAGTTTCTGTGTGTGCATTTTTTTTGGAACATTAACAAATGATTTCTACAGTTTAGAAAGTTAGTGAAAGTTAGTGCTGCRTGTAACTTATCAGTGTTGTCTTGCTAAAACTGCAAATAGAGAACTTGAATAATACTCATATTGAAGTTTAAGCATACGAATAGAGAAACTAAAGCCAAGTGCAAGGGGCTTGCTGAGGAGGAAGAGATTCCTTGGTATCTCAAACCATTCCACAGTAGAAGAGTTGCTTGAAAGCTGCTTCTCTAGCCCCCAGAAAAAAAAAAAAAAAAAGAAGGAGAGCCAGCTTCTCTTTTATCCTATTGCAGGTGATTTTGGGCCTTCTAGATTGCAACCTCTGTAGCTGAAATCTTGGTCTAAACAGGTTTTACAAGACAACACTTTAGCTATTAGACGATAGTTAATGAATGAAGCAATATGTTGAGAAATTAAAGTATATAGAGTAATACCATGCATCAGTTAAAATGATAATCTCTCAAGAATGTCAGTGCTTTGTAGTTAATAAGAAAATTGTATCAAGTGGAAATAATTCTGTTTGTCCATCCTTAATCAGTTGTAAAGAATACATGGATGTTTGCCAGAGATATAAAGGTTAAGGTGCAATTTTATAATAACACATTCCTTCCCTTATATGGTTCTTTCAATCCAAGGGCATGAGAGCAGTTCACAAATAATTAGTTTAGCCTTGTAACAACCATGCTATAAATCCTGGCCCGGCCACATAGTGGTCACATTCTTAAAGTTAAGTATATAAATATTCCCATGTTCAGGAAGGACTAATTACTTAATCATAGGATTACCACTGTCTGCTCAAATCCATTGTTGGTTTGGAGTGAATAATATTTTTGAGTAGTGTCATGAAGATAATTGATGAACCTCCATAAGTTGATTTTATGGAAAGGACTATGATGCAAACAATGTTATTACTGCTGTTCTTTTAATAATTATTATTATTGCTTTTGTTTCATTTGAACTTAGTGGTGTGTGTGTTAGTTTTTTTTGGTGTCAGAGGATTGCTTGCTTTCTGAACTCCTATAAAGGTGCTTTGCTGGATGTACTTAAAATATGAGAGAATTGGCATTCATCTTAGATACAGTAAGAGAGGATCTGATCCATTAGATTTCACTGTAATGAAAATATGCTTTGCAAGAATGAACATCCAGCTAATGTGAAAGCAAGCCCCAGCACACTTTTCCTCTTCCAAACACACAGAAAGTCTTTTTGTAGTGCTGGAGGTGAAAAGAGCCTTTCTCCATTTCATAATGATTTCAAATAGGAAGAAAATTCAGGAACTGCAAGAGTGGTTTTAACTTCATGACTTTTCTAAAAAAAATCTTGTGCAACTTGTGTATTATTTTAATACATAAAATAAAAGATCTCTATTTTAGCTTCAGGAGCATTTTGCTAAGAGGCATTTCTGTGTGTTCTTGTCCTTGGGTTTAAGATTTGGAAGAGTATTTTAAGTAAAGATAATATTTTAACAACCAAAAAGAAAAAAAAATGATTTTTAATTTGTTACTTATTTAAATAACCTTTCATCTTGTCACCTTTCTTTTACCCCTCATTGCTGAAATACTACTTTAGAAATTATTTTGCTAAGTGTAAACAGAGCAGAGTTACCTAAGCTGCCACTTATGAGTTCAAGTATGTTTTCAAGAATTGAAGCAGAGTCTGGAATAATGGCAGCTTTTTTTATCTTTATGCCCTGCAGCCCTGACTCCTTCCTAACAACATTTAAAGCTTGTATTTTTGTTTGATTAAAGATATTTCTTTAACTAAGGCTAACAACAGAGTGGGAGCAGGTTCTGGTAAAATGCCAGAATCTCTTAAGCAGCAATGAAGGTTGTCTTCCAGACACAAATATCTATCAGCTGAAAATGCTTGACTGTGCCATGGATGCCTGTATCAACCTTGGATCCTGGGAAAATGCTTTGAAATACGGCATCAGGACTCTCGGACCATACRGGTAAGAGATTCAGTTGATTCAGCTGTTTCCAAAGAAGAGGTCTCTCMTTAAAAGTGAACATTGTGCTTGCTCTTCATTGAAAGTGGTCACTGTGCTTTCTCTGGATGCTACTTACAACTTGTATTTCTCAAATTGCCTTGCTGTACATCTTGCCATGCTGCCTTGGTTAATGGCTGAGGCAGAATTCTCATTCTTCTTCCATAAACAAGGTAAGAGTAAGTAAAATGATAATAGGGACTATAAGAAAAACTGGTACCCTGCAGTAGTGCTCATCAGTGTTTCATGTATCTGGATGCTGACCCCATCTCTAATCCAAAACTTACTTTCTGGTTCCTTGCTCTAGTTTCTTTCATTGTCGTTAYGAGTGTGTTAGTGTTTTATACGGAGCTGAATTAAGCTTTAGGGACAGGGATATAGATGAAATAGTGTATGAAATCTTCAAACACTCTGCRTAGATTCACAGGAAAAAAAATCATTACAAAATGCCTTCTCAGTTGGAAGTGAAAAGGTCACATTGCTTACTTTGCTAACACCTGGAGGCCAGGTGATGAAGCACTTGCTGTTCTTTTCTCCTTGCTCCTGTGCTGGGAAACTTTCTGACACTGGTGGCCTTTACAAGTCAGTGACAGTGCTCTAGGAGATCTTGCTTTATCTGGTCAGTCTTGGGATTGATTGGAGTCTGGAGTTGTAATGCTACTTAGGTCATCTAACGGAGACGGGACTGGTGTTCAGTGGTTGTCCTGTTTTAGAAGCTCCAAAACTCCAAGTCTTGATGTTCAGGTTGTTTGTAACTAAATGTTAACTTGTGTTCAACATCAGGAGAAAATATTGTGCACACAAATGTTAATTTTTGATAAGGTATTTTTTAGAGTATGCATTTATTCTCTTAAGTTCCACTATACAATACGCAGCGTGATATTGTGAAATGTGAGGGGCAAACAAATGCTTAAAACTACATACTGCTATGGATACAAACACCTCAGATAGATACAGCATATTTTCCCTAATCAAACCAGGCTGCCATCAGCGTTCAGCATTTTGCCTGAGGAAATTTCATCTGGCAGCCTGTTTCCGAATAAAACTCTGGGCAGCAGCTGAGATCCAACACAGCATTTCAGCGCTTTCACCGTGATGCAATTAGCAAGAGATCTGCACAGGCCGTGCTAGACTCGAGTTGCAGGGACACTGTAAGTTCATAATGACTTCTCATACAAGGGGGCACAAGAGCCCAGACATTCTCAGATTGCTTACARGTGAAATCAACTCCCTGCATGTCCCACTTAACCTTTCAAAGAGAGCTTGTGTAGTACTGCAGTCATACATGCTTTCTGCCAGCCATCTACCATATGGCACGATCCACGTGAACTAAGGAGATGACTGTTTGAGTGTTCATTTWTTTAAAAAAAAATTAAATTTCATAACCCATGAATTCAGTTCTGCATTAGCAGAAAACCGAAGAGTTTCCTATAGAGATTACAGGCAGGCCAAGTGCAATTTTATCAGATACTTTAATAAAGCTTTCTCTGTTTTGCTTACTGAAGTGCACTGAAGTTTTCCAACTGCTTAATGCAGCGCTTTGGGGATGAAGGAATAGCTTCAACTTGTGCATTCAGTTAGTATCTCTTAGGAAATGCTATTTGCAGGAGAAATTGGACCTTTTTTGTGCCTCAAAAAATTGCCTTTATTCTCTTCTGGTCCAAAAGAATTATTGAAGAGAGATTTTCAGTTGTATTTTTTTCTTTATACTTTCAAGTCACCACAATAAGCTTTGACACACCTGAAACGAAATCCTCAGTTTCTCWTTACAACAAATTGTGCCTGAAGCAGCAGGAGAGCAAATCCTAGGAAATCTTTTGGGATGCATTGAATTTCTCCTGTTGAATCCATCCACTGCTTGGCTGCTCCTGCAATTCCATTATAGCTATCTATTCTCCTCTTTTCATATCTGGAAAAAATATTCATACCACTCTCTACAGGAAATCACCTGAGAATTCAAGCAGTCCATATAAAGAGGAAATCGTTATTACAACCTTAAAAGAGAATTGGTCCCCAAAAAATCTTAATTTCAGGAAATGTGTTTATTGTGTATTTCCCATTTCTTCAGCAGCAGGATTAATTTCCASTGCTGTGTGACATGCTGTATTGTCACAGGAGTTTTTATTATGATGGCTGCTGACTTTTTGGAACCAGCCACTTTGTGTAACTACTGGAGACAGTTGGTTAAACTGCATAAAAATGCCTTATCGAACCAACGTACTGAATCCCACCCCTCTGCTCTAAATAGTGACAATAATATTAGATGAGGAACATGTTTGGGATCTCTCCAATAGTTTTAGAACTTACAAAAGAAAGAGATGTCAAAACAAGAAGCTGCCTACTCTTTTTGCACTGAACCATAATTGTCCGTAATTTGTAAAAACCTAGAAGTATTTTCCCTGAATAACCTAACCCAAATGTGTATACACAACTTTTCTTGTACATGTCACAGGACTAGCTGATCTGTCCAAGAGCCTTCACAAAAGTTAAGGCACTTGCCTTAGCAAAAGCTGACCCCTGTCACAGTCAGCGCATAGCAGCTTAAAAAAATAAACTTCCTTGCAAAAAAAATCCTCCTGAGCCTTAACCACAAAATAGCRGAGTATCAGCAAGAGGTGTTACATGGGTTTGTCATGTCTCAGTTAACACATTCRCGCTCCGGGTTGCTGCTGCTCAAGAGGGATCCGACTTAGAGACAGCGAGTGAAGCAGATTTCCCTGGCATTACCTCTGAGGAAGGGCCCCAGCATTATTCCTTAAATTGTAGGCAAGAARCATATGTTCTGGGGGTTGGGGGTTTTGTTTTGTTTTAAATTATCTCAAATATCCATTATTTACACTGCAGACAAACGGTGGATGTATGCATCTTCTGTAAAAACCTGCAGGGTGCCTCAGCTATTGCCATGTGAGGACTGGAGGTGAAAGAAGTCGTTGAGTGACACCGTGGGCCCAAAGTGGGGTGGGAGAAGCACTGGGGCCTCTCTCTGGGCTCCTGTGGCAACAGGTCTGGTGAGATACTTTTACCGAGAGGGCAGAAATGCCCAATTCTTTCCTGCACAGCACCACTGACCTTCAGATGGGCTGCTTTAATTAACAGCTCTTCTTCTGCTGCAGCCTTAGGAGTTACTGAAGGGCCCCAGCCTAGAGCAGAGTGTGGTCCTGCCTCTGCCCCAGCAGCTTTGCCCATCCTTGTCCCAGTGTCCTCCTCACACGGTGGCAGCACCAGTGCAGGCCTTGCATTTTTCCTGGTTACGTGGTTGAATTCCCATAGTGTGAATGAAATGTTAGCCATGRCTTTTTGATTTAGAAGTCTTAACTCAATAGGTTTGCTGGATGAGTTTCTAAGTATCTGAACTTCAATCAGAAGGCAGATTTAAAACATGATAATTGCTGCAGTCTGTTTTCCTAGAGTCATGATTTTGTAAAAAAAAACAAGTAAGAAAGAATAACTGTAGAACTTAATATTCTCAGACATACACTCAGCCCATCATCTCTCCTTCAATAAGGCCCTCCAGTAAAGGCTGTACTGTAAAAATACATCATTCTTTTTTTCCAGATTCCAATCTCCTTCTTAAGGTGTTTYACATGTAATCCCTACTCTTTGAGGTGTGATTTATAATAAATATATGATAGTTTCAATAACTGAAGATAAATATAATAATAATAATAAATCCATCYTTATCCTTGATCAAATGCATTTGGTTCTTTGCCGAGGGAAGAGAGTCCTTAGCGCTGCCTGCTTCTGAGGGATCTTACWTAAATTTACATTGAAAGCTAAATTGCCTAGAAAACTACCCCCAAAAAGTGAAGTGCAGTGATGGATAGGGCCACTGGGGGATGCTAGTGATTAAGGGTTCAAGCCCAGGGTCAGCGCCAATGGGCACCCTGGTTTGGAGAGGTCTCCTAAGGACTTGTACATGGTTGGCACATTTCTGAACCCGACAGTAGTAATTCAGTGACCAAAGTTCAGTATCTTGATCATAAAACATTTGTCATAAGCCTAAATCTTACCTCTGGGATCACCTGAGCTGGAGCTCAGTGAAGGTAGAAAGAGCAATGTGAAGGTAGAAAGAGCAATTCAAAGAGCAATTGAAAGAGCAGAAGAAATAAAATGTAGCAGTGATGCCTTTTCTAGGATTTTTGAAAAGTGGCCAAGGACATTTATCTGTAATGTTCACATGTTTCAAAACATGTGAAAAGAGGAGACACACAAAAATCTTACCAAAGAACTGAAAGACATTAAAAATACAGCCCATGAGAAAAAAATCTGCATAGTAGAGGCATCCTTTATTTCTGTTTTCTAAACAACATTAAGATTTGGGAATTACCTGAAAAGGACAACTTTAATTGTGTTTAGTGAACGATTCCCAGAGAGGTTGTGGAGGCTTCTTTGGAGATCTTCAAACCCGCCTGGATGCGACTGGTTGCCGTGTGCTCTGGATGTCCCTAGTGGAGCAGAGGGATTGGACTAGATAATCTCTAGAGGTCCCTTCCAACCTCAACCAGTCTGTGATTCTGTTAGTTTGTCATCTAGAAACAGTAAAAAGGTCAAGTAAGTATCAAAGGTTTGTGAAAGGAAGAGAGAGGTACATCTGCTAAGAGGGTAAACTGCCTCTGAGAATGTGCGAGGCTGGGAACATGCTATACACTGAATAAATAGCAACAAGGAGCCTTGATGCGCCTTCAGAGACAGGAAGCTAACAGGAACGTAAGGGAACTTGATAATAATCAACTGCTAGAGCATGGAAAATGTTAGACAGCCCCATAAGCACCTTTGCTTTTCCTTTTCTTACCCTATGCCAGGTTATTGATAGCTATTCACTGTTTTAGTGGGTTACATGAAATAAATTCACACTGTTAGCATAAATCTGTGAAGGTCCAGCCGTTTGTACAAACCACATATGACTCATGAAGCAATTGGATGTCCTCATGAAAAGCATTGATGTTGTAAGTTATATTTATAGC